TCTGGCATCTAATGAATTTTAAAAATTTGTTCGGAAAACATATGCTTTCAACCATTCATCATCAGGCCAGTTCAGTTGAAGGGATAATGAAAATCATGTAACTGGAAAGGGTTAATAAATGTCTTGTGATCACAGCTCATCGTGTTCACGCTGCGCGCATAATGAGATCGGTGTGTAGAGGTCATTACGCTGGGGATGTGGGGGGAGGGAATTCGGATAGGCTGTGAGCACTGGTCACGGGTCGGGTACGTGGAGAGAAAATTACTGTCATTTGCATGAAAGGAACAACTGTCACCAGAGTTTGAGGGTGATATGCGATCACCCTCTGGCATCGGCGCCGGCGTCGACTCTGGAGGTGAAAGTGCTTTCATATCGTCTTCTGACAACCGAGCACTGGATTAGCTAGCCATATAGCCACTGCCTCGACTTTTGGTAGCATCTGTTGGCCTAGACCCTTGGAGAAGTTGGCTTATGTCCGATAGACAACCTGAAAGGCTTCATTAGTATCGGCTCGGTGATTCCTATCGACAAAGTGTGCGAGAATAGAATCCGAGATCGACCAAATTTCACATTTACTTAGCCAGACTGGCATGCACTCTCAATTCCAGGCGCCACTAGACGCGGATCTCGCCATGTCGGCGGTATGAAACTTATGAGTCGTATTCAACGGATACTTATTAACCCTGTCCTACCGTACGATTTCCATTATCCCTGCATTTGTAACGGCCCGACGACGAAATGGTGAAAACGTTTGTTCGTCGGCTAAATTTTTCAAATGAAAAATGGAAATATTTGCAGAATACAAGGAATTGTTTGCATTACACCGACGAACGTTTTCACATTCGTTGGCACAGCATGCCGACAAATCAGACGGACATTGATACGGTCTCTAACTGACAAATTGGTCCTGTGATTGAATTGAAAAGAGAGGATGCCATGTGATTATGCTCATATGGTACAATCTGTTCACTACAGTACAGCCAGAATTTTTGTAAAATGCCGACATATGCGAAAGCATGATACCCCTTAGCTAAACGACATTGAGCAACATTATAATACTGACCATCGAGTAGTTTATCCTCGAA